GCCAATACTTTGTTGAGGATTTTTGCATCTTATGTTCATCAAGGATATTGCCCTGTAATTTGCTTTTTTTTTGTGGTGTCCTTGTCTGGTTTTGGTCTCACAGTAATGCTGGCGTTATAAAATGTGCTTGGAAGCATTCTCTCCTCTTCAGTTTTTTGGAAGAGTTTGAGAAGGATAGGTATTAAATCTTCTTTGAATATTTGGAAGAATTCACTAGTGATCATAACAGTTCTTTAACGTAACTCACAGATAGTTGGTGATAGAATCCAACTTGCCTAAAACTTAAATTATTTAGCCTGATCTTCTGTTGACTTTCTGACTTGCCTCAAATATCAGGCAACTAAAAATTATAGCATTGGGCAGATACTGTGTATAATATATAAGATAGTGGTTCTCAAACTTAATGATGAATAACCCTCACCTGGGAAGGTTTTTTTTTTTTTTTTTTTTTAATGTAGGCTTTCTCAGCTTCCCTCCTGAGATTTTGAGTCAGTATGTTTGGGATAGGGTCCAGTAAATCTGTGTTTGTAATGACCTGGTGATTTTGAAGTATGTGACCTGCGGCACTGCCCTTAAAAAGCACTGGTTTCAAGGAGTAAAGGAGAGAATAAAGAAGTGATGTTAGCACAAATCATCTCTGATGTCTTATTTCCAATAAATTTTAGAAAAAAGTAAAAAGCTACTTGGCTTGTTCCTTTGAAGAATTTGTTTTCCTCTTATATGGATGTAAAGGCAGAGGACAGATGCTCAATTATTGTGTTTGTGTTTCCATCAGTGGAACCTTAGGGTCGTTATGATGAAGTCATTGAATCCATATAACTGTGTGGTACTGCACATGATGAAAGAAATCTGTTTCAGTCAAACAAATTGAGACGGTTTGGACAAGATGCTAGTTTATCACTGCTGAGATATTATTAAAATTGAGCAGAGAATACTAGAATACTCAATATTCATGGAGAGCCATAGTATATTACTGATTCATAATGAGGCACTATTTCTTCTTTAGCAACTGGAATATTCTCAGATGTTGCCTGTCTGATTACACATAGGTGCTAAGTGAATATTAAAAATTTTGGTGCTGGTTGAGTAGGTCGAGTAGAATGTGTTAGGGTACATCCTGTGGAGATGTTTTTTACTATGTAGTTGTATAGTTACCTCAGTAACTAACCGGCAAGAATATGGTTCTAATTGAAAAGAAACCACTTGTCTTTAAAAGCAGCATGTCCTGCTAAGAGAAAGTTCATGCTTGACTAGTTTATTCCAGGTCTTTGACTGTCAGTATAAAGCAAATTCATTATAAAAAGATGGATAATAGTCTATGTTAATGGAATGTAGGCAGTTGAAAAGAAAATTTTTAGCAATTAATCCACACCTTGGAAGGCTAAAGAACAGGAAGCCACAGAAGTCATGTTTTAAAAAAAAAGTAATTGCAAGTAAATTTGCAAATATAATCTAGCTAAAAAAAATTATATGGAGGTTATTTCTTCCAAGCTATCTTGTTACTATTAAAATTTTTGTGCCATGTTACAGATGAGAAAAAAGGGGTTGAATTTTCTGGGGTTCTGATTCAATTATGGGAATTTGATGTGAAGAGAATTTTTGTAAAGGAGCATGCACAAAGAGAACAGGAATATGACATATGACATCTGTAAATTTATTACTAAACTTATAGAAGGAACTTAGTGGGGTATACCTCTTAAAACAAATGGTTTTTAATAATTTGATGTTTTAACCTAGGGACTTAGTTATAGCTTTGTGGGTATACTATTTGTAGTCCCATTACTGATTTGTATCACTCCATGGTGATAACCTATAAAGATTGACTTCTTATATTTGATTTTAAAACTATTAAGAATGGAAAAGGTTCAGTAAGCCAAATACCTTAGAAATAGCGTGAGCTATTTGCTAGGTTTAGGTTATACATGCATAAATTTATATATAGATGTACGTACTTACCTTGACACAGTAAGTACCTAAAAACTATGTAAATGGATTACTTTTGAATGTAAGCAGTTTAAATAAAACCTATGGTGAGTCCTTTTATTGTTAAAAGTCAGTCAACACTAACTTAACCTGTTTTGTAAATTTGATTCTAATATTATATTGGGCTTTTCAAAGTGAAACTTGTATATGCATATGGAATATGAGCATGCATATATGTACAAAAGCCCTTTAGAAGAAGTTCAGCTTTTTTTTTTTTTTTTTTTTTTATAAACACCAAAACTCACTCTGCCTGTGAAATGTTTTTGCTCAAGTTTGCATCATTGACTCTCAAATTTACACCTTTATGTTTGTTTACACTACCAGGACTATCGATGCATATAGATTTTTGTTATCTCCTTCCTTCCCCCTCAATAAATGAGTTAACTTTTAAAAAATTGTGACCATTTCTATGAAATAAATGTTCATAAAACAAATCAGCATATGCAGCTTATACAGAAATAAAATTATTCCCCTCACACAAGGAATTTCTATTTTGTAAAAATGTAGCTTGTATTTCAGAGTGTAATAAAATCTGGTGTAAGAAACAAACTGTTGAGTGGGTTAAGTGATTATTCTGAATGTATTTACTTTTTTAGTGCCAGTTTTTTGAGGTGGTGGTGGAAGGGGAGGTGTAAGGATGAGGTTAACAAGTTTTTAAAATTGCAATGGAAGTTTGTGGGCATATTTCAATGAGATGTTAATGTAACAGAAAGAACACTTAATACATACTGAAACCCAGCAATACCATTTCTTCATTTTCTGTGTACTGACACAAAGGCAACTATTATGTCTGAGACTACAGTAGTAGCCCTTGCAATCTGAGTCAAACTAGGACCTTGAAAATTAACCTATGATGTCCATAAGGATTGGTTTACAACACCAAGAATTAAATGAATTTCTATAACATAATAAAATATCAACTATGTGTGTGCATGTCTATACACAGTCAAGATTCAGCACAGCGAATTGGGCTGCATTTGCAGCTTTTGCATTGGCCTGGTTAAAGGTAATCTGGGGATTAGTACCAATTTGTGAGAAGTTTTTATTCTGCAGTGTCCTCTCTTCCTTTACTAAATGTTCTTCCTTTGTATACTTGATTCTCCTCTTTCAAAGTAGACTTTTCGTTTTCTTCCTTGAACACAATTTGAGTCTCTTCTATCATTCCTACCCTTAATTCAACCTTGAGTTTCCCCTCTGCCCTTAAAGCATATTTTTTTTCTGTTGACTTCCTTGGGTATTTAGTGACTTTTCCTAACACAGTATAATTTCATTATCTGTTATGAAGTAAAATTTCCACCTCCTATATTTTAATTTAATTATGGTGCTTTGAAAAAGGAGCACCTCTTCCAGAAGCAGCTTTCCTTCCCTTATGACATGCTCTGCTCCTTGCTACATCTGACTTGGCAATTCTGACCTGCTCAGTTCTGACATGGAAAGCTACCAAGGTGATCCATCTAAAATGGAAACTTAACCAGCCCTCTCCTTGCCTGAAACCTTTAATTGGTTTCCTATTGCTTATTCACCAAATAAATAAATTCAAAGTTAACATGCAATATAAGATACAGCTTCTGCCTATATTTCCATCTTGATATTTCCTACATGGACCTGAGTGCTCCATTTGCCTGCTTGTACCATGCAACTTCACACCTGGCTGTACTCGAACTACTCCCTCTGCCCAGAATGCCCTTCCTCTGTCACCACCTGGCTAACTCCTGCTCATTCTTGGAGACCTAGTGAAGACATTCTCTTCCTCCAAGAAGCCCGATGCTCTCATCTTTATCAAGGCCTTTGGTGTACTGAATCCTGACTATGACCACGAGCTCTTCTGGGCTGGCATCACTGAATCATTTTTTTTTCCCCCAGAACCAAGTGCAGGTTGCTGGGTGGTGAAGTGGGAGATGGTGTGCAGAACCATTGGCACATATTTACTTAGTTAATAGAGTGACAACCATTTTAAAGACTAAACATGTAAAATTCATAACTGTGCAGGAAGTAGCTGCTGTCTGAGAACAGTGTGACCATTATGTATAATTCAGTGTGTCTTTCCTTCATACCTTGTTTCTCCAAAGACCTAGCTTGCCGTATATTCCATTAAATGCAGGCATATGAGTGTTCATCTGATAACCAGGTTTAAAAAGTTCACTGTGACTTTATAGACTTAAATTGGCAAACACTAGAAATACAGTAATAAGGCATATTAGAATATGGGACTGTAGTGAGATTGTGGTATCAAGACCTTTGTATCATCTCTGAATCCTTGTGTTTTGGAAAACTTTTATTTCCTTAGGAAAGTTCTTTATCTCTCAAACTGTGGGATTCAAAACTAAAATGTCAGAAATATGAAATACTTGCTCATCTTCATGTTCTAATATTTCAGTTTCTAAAGACAGTCCTTGTTCCTGAGAGACTTTCTTTATGTCATTAGAAATAAATAAGCCATTCCTCCTCAGCCGTATCTGCCAAGCTGCACTGTCGGACTATTACTAGGAGAATAACTTATTGGTAATTGGACTACATCAGCAGCCTGATTTGTACTACAAAGGTGGAAATCATTATGCTTCTTTGTGCCCAGTGACCACTTACTGAAAACAGATTGGAAAGGGTGTGGAGACCTGCTTTTCAGAATGTCAGTGCAAGTCCTTGCTGACAAGTCTGATTTATCTTCGACTACATTTTCCCTTTTTATCCTAATGCTCTTTTCCTGGAGGTGATGCTTAACATAGGGCAGCCACCTGTTAATCACATGCCAGCACATACTATATAGATAAGGAATTTCCCGTGAGCTCCCACATTGAGGTTTATAATGTTTACTCTCAGGTAGATTCCATTATATGTCCTGTTTTCCTTTTTTGTTTGCGTTTTGATCTCAGAACTCAGGGGGCACATTTGCAAGACTGGGAGGAACAATAAAGGCTAAGAAGAGTTGAGGAATTCTGTACAAATAACAGAGAAAAATTCAATTATTTTAGTCAATGACTTCATTAAAAGGAACTCGGGTGTACAGTTGAAATCTTTAACAAATTGTAAATTTTCATGTTTATTTCAAAATAGCTTGGGAAAGAAGTCTTATAAGCAGGCCTTACTGGCAAAGCAAAGCAAAGCAAATAAAAAATACTAAGTAATAAAAGGACTATTATGACATTTTTAGACTTAAACTACCCTTTCAGTACATTTGCACATTGTGGATAAAGTTCTGTAAAGCTATTAAAAAGTATTCTGTTAAAAGTGTCTTGAATAACATCACTCAGATTGAGTATAAAATACTTTGTGGTCCCTTCATCATCACGGTGCCTCATAGTTTGGTTGTCTAAAGTTAATTCTTACTTTACAGCACTGGTATATGAAGTGATTTCACACCATGCCCAAGATGCGGGCCACCCACCAGCTACATGGCATGACAACTCTGCAGGCCGAACGGCAACCTTGATAATTATAAGGCCATGGATAATAGCCTCCCAGGGGTTCACAGATCTTCTGGCAGTGGGTGTAGCTCCGCCTGCATTCGATACAGCAGATTCCTTCATGATCCAGTCTAGGGTCGAATGTCATGCCTTCCCCTTCCTGCTGCTGTGATATGAGAGAGAATTATTTGTGTTTTCTTCATAATGAGAAATTTATAGCATGCACGTTATTTTTAAGTAAGATCCTGAATGTTTCACTGCTATAAGAAATCAGCATCATTTTCTGTAAGGAGATTTCAATCTTACAACCTTACAATTCAGAATTCCTTCTAACATCAAGGAACCTCCACCTACCTAATCTGTCACTGGCAGGAAGGTTTTTTTTTTAATGTTATGGTCAAGTTTCCCCATGCTTCTAATTTAGAGCCATGGTTACCACTCAGTAGTAACTCAACTTGTCTTTAATAGGAAAACAGCATGATTCAAAAGTAGCATTTCTGCCACTGCTAATGTTAAGTCAGTGGGACACTGGTGCCTTCTGGTAGGGCTTCCAGGGCTCTTGGGAGCACATTTTGAAACTCACTGATCTAGGCTAACAACAGAGTGCTATTCCAGTTGCACTGGCTGAAAACATTGTCAAGTCATTTAGCTTCTCCTGCCTTCATTTCAACATAAGGAAAAGGCACCATGTAATGTGTAAAAATTCAAGACCTTAAACTTTACCTTCTAGTTTGTATGTGCCATAATTATAGGTAAATAAACACAAAATCATATTGATGAAGTAAAAATCACCTACAAAACTCGCCATTTTCACGGCTAGAGAGATCACAGAACTGGGAGGAACTTGTAAAACAAATTTACAGAATCTGGTTTGTCCTTTTCATGGATTTCTAGGGCTACAGATTCTGTATCCTCTTTAATAGGGTATCACGCTACATTGCCAAGAAGCCCTTACTGTTGATGTAAATTCCTCGTTCAATTTCAGCCTCTTTTCTGGAGGTAGCTGAGCTTGGAGAGATGCAGCACCAAACACAGGCTTGAACCTAAGCAAGCCTAGCACCTTTCCTGGCGTACCAAAAAAAGTCTCAATTGGGGGGTGGGGGGGGGCATTATGAAAAATTTCAAGCATACTGGAAAGTGGAGAAAATTGTGTACTGAACATCATCTAGATTTGACAATTACCTTTTGTCAAATTTGATTTTGGCTGAAGTATTTTAAATTCTGAAGTGAATTTTAAGAGCATTGAAGGCATTTTAACGTTTCACCCATAAAAACATTAGAATGCACCTCCAAAATAGAATATTTTCCTACACAACTACACTGCCATTATCACAACTAATAAAATTAACAATTACTTAACTATCTGATACAGCCTATGTTGAAATTTTGTCATCAAAATATTTATTGTCTTCCTTTCTTACACTGTTCTTTTTTTATTCTTCAGACTTCCCATTTTTTTTTCCTTATCTGTTGAAATAAGTTCATCTGGGACAGCAAAAATTAAAACCACCTCATTAATTAATTGTAGCTGACTCTTCCGGGGTAGGGGGAGTCCAAAAGCCTATTGAGGCATTTCCTCATCTAAGGTTCAACAACAGTTTGTTAAGATTAAAGAGTTGGGAAGAAATCTCAGGTTGTTGCCCTATTTTCTTAAAGGGATATGTGAAGGAGGTGTTTCTGCTTAAAGCTCAACACTAATAAAGGAGAAAACTGATATAATTGGAGTTTTTCAAGGAATATAGATCAGTCAAGTTTGGAAGCAAGGCAAAGTCATGTCCTGCCCGTATGTAAGGGGCTGATGCCCTCGTCCCCAGAACCAGATTCAGCTAGCCCAGCTACCTGGGGAATAAACTATATTAAATTTTCTGTTTGCCTATTCAGATTTTATTTCTTTTGTAATTATTCTTTGAGCTTTAGGGAATGAAGTACTGTAATCCTGAATTTTCTGATAAGCCTTGGGTTATTTAAAAAATGCTTTTTCCTCTAAATCTTTCTAAAATATATTAGTCTAAAATGATAAACTAGAAAATACATTTGCAACACATGAGACAACATAGGATTGAACAGGCCACATAGGAAAAAAAAATATACATGACTTATTTGTGTATGAAAAGATGCTCAGCCCTACACATAATTAAAGACAGGCAAGGAAAGACAACCAGGAGATACAATTTTACAACCAAGAGACTATTTTTTTAAAGTTTGATAATAAGTGAGTCCTTTCATTACCATTTAAAGATGTGTAGCTGGTGTGATTCCTTGGAAGACAATTTGGTGTCCTCCATTGAAGTGTACAATTCCCGTCTACTTTGACCCAGCAGACCCATGTGTCAGTATTTGTGCTAAAGCTATACTCCTACATGTGTGCAAGAGATATAAGACTAATAGCTAACTAACATGGAGAAAGTTAATGCTTACTCTCTGCCAAGCCCTGTCTAAGAGCTTCACTTGCATTTACTCCTTCCCATACCCCTATGAGGCATGTACAAAGTGTATACTATTAACAGTATTCCTAACAGCAAAAGACAGGAAAATAACTTACATATCCCCCAAAGCAGAACAGGTTAAATTTCTGTACATCTATCCCCACAATGGAATACGATGTAGCCATTAAAATGAATGAGGTGGATCTATGTAGGAGATACAGAAAAATCTCCAAAATACTCTATTGTAACTGGAAAGAAAGCAAGGTATAGAAGTTTTGGATGCTCTTTTGTGTTAAAAATATGTGTGGGTGGGGGTGTGTGGGTGGGGGGGTACTTTCTTATGCAAAGAAACTGGCAAACGGCCATTAATAGTTTGCTTTGGGGAGGGTGCCTGAGGTAGAAGGGAAACACTTTGTATACTCTTTTATACTGCTTTTAAAAAATAGACAAATAGACGCATGTATTATTTTTTCCATTAAAACACTAGTTACAAATAAATACTTATTTTTCTACTTCCACTCCCTGCAAAATATAGTAATGGTAAATAACAGTTGAAAATTTCAGAAGTTGTTAGCACGTTAGTGTTATCCTTACAAACACCAGTTCTCATTGTTTCATTCTGAAGTGTTTCATCTACGTGTGAGTCTGTCTCCCGACTGGACTGAGAGCCCCTGAGGGCAGAGGTTACTCCTGGCTAGCTGTGTGCATAGGGTCTGAGAAAGCAGATTCTCAACAAATGTCTGTTGAATGGATGAATAAAGTGGATATAGAGGGGGAAAGAATACTTTCATTCTGTGTGTTGCCCCCAGGGCACACTCCTGGAAACATTTTTAAATAATCAAATTCCTGATGTGAATTTGTCTTTATGGATTTGCCTGTGACTGAAAAAGAGGAGAGCACAGAAAACAACTTTGAATAAAGGTGACAACCAATCAGGATTTTACACAAGGCAATGCTTAAGTTAATTCATAAACCTTGCAACAGACAAGAGATCCTTTTTTTTTTTTTTTTTTTTCTGAGGAGATCAGCCCTGTGCCAACATCTGCCAATCCTCCTCTTTTTGCTGAGGAAGACTGGCCCTGGGCTAACATCCATGCCCATCTTCCTCCACGTTATATGGGATGCCGCCACAGCATGGCCTGACAAGCGGTGCGTGAGTGTGCACCCAGGATCCGAACCAGCGAACCCCGGGCCGCCGCAGCAGAGCGCGCGCACTTAACCGCTTGCGCCACTGGGCTGGCCCCCAGAGATACTTTTAAAATAAGTCTCAGTTGAATACTAAATGCTTGTTTGAAACTTCAGGTAGAAACACCACCACTTCAGTGTTATGTTTCATGCATTTGTCGGAGCTTGTCATGAAAACACCAGTACGCACATGGTAAGGGTTGTTTGGATTGAAGGAGTCCAAATCCTCTTGAACACCAGGTCTGGTTTCATTATTTGGTCTTCCAGGGGCTGGGTTGCCCTGTGGTCCACTCCATGGTCTTTTTGTGGTAGTTGTAACTATTTTTCTTGCCAATTCCCTTCTTTCTCTCTGGATTTCTGCAAAAAAAATTGCTGTAAGTTAATTTCTTTATTTGAATAATTAAGGAAGTTCTGTGTTTATCAGGGTGAAAAACATAAGAAAAGGATATCATCAAAATATATATATGACTAGATACTGTTTAAAATTGTATTAATGATTTTTGTAATAATAAAGCATGTTTCAGAGTCTTGGGTTAGGAGTTAAACATACAGATAACCAGAATTTCGTTTTATAATCCTAATTGAGACAGATATTGTAATGTAACTGACAAAAATCCATTCTCAATCCCTTTCTCCTTTGCCTGCCTCTACTATATGGCTTGAGAAAGAAAAATACCACTCATTTCCTTAGCCTCCCTTGCAATTAGGAGTGGCCAGATGAGACATTTCTGGCCAGTGAGACAAGCAGAATATGTTAGTGCAGTTTCTGGGAAAGCTTTTGCTTTCTTGGTAAAAGAGGACAGATCCGGCTTTCTCTGTCTTGTCTTCCTTTCTCGAATGTAGATAGGATATCTGGGTTATGTGAGCCAACTTGTGACCAGAAGGGATAGACACAAGGATAATAAGCCAGCATGATATGGGTAGCAGAATGTAAGCCAGAAAGAGACTTGATGATATCACTGAGTAGCTGATAATGCCAGAAACCCATCTCCAGACCTCTGGCTATATGAAAAAAATCAACCTGTATTTGTTGAAACCACTGATGATCAGGTATTCTGTTACTTGCAGCCCTGTGCATTCCTAATAGATTGACTATATACGTATGAAGCTTTACAGTTTTTAGGGGATTTATTATCTTGGTTGATTCTTTAAAAAGTCCTATGGGATAGAAAAAGCAGATACTTTTATACATGAGGGCATCAAGGCTCAGAAAGACCAAGTGACCTGGCCAAGATCACAGAATGGGTGGCAGAGATAGGAGCTGAACGTGAACTTCCCTGGCTTACAGCCCAGTGCTCTAGTTCACCGCACTGCCTCATGGGTCCTGCAGCATGACCAATGGCTGCCAAGTAACCAAATGGAAAGTACCACACAGTGTGGGCTTTGGTGTCTCTCTGAGTCTCAGTTTCTTCATCCATAAAATGGGGATGATAATAGTAGCTAATTACCAGAGTAGTGATAGAATTAATGAAAAAGTGTGTCTTAAGGGTTTTAGCATAGTGTTTGGCATATAATAAGCACTCAAATGTTAGGTGGTGATGATGATATCATGCTGTGTTATTTATGAGAACTTAGATGTGCTTTACAGCCATGGAGAGCTTCCACAGAGAGCTTCTTGGTTTCTGGGGCATGGTTGGAGAGGCATCAGGGAGACCTGGATTCAAATCTCAACACCACTTCTTCTAGCTAACCAAATGAGCTCGGTTATTTGAGAGGTTAAATGAGGAGGGGATGGAAAGCTCTAGCACAGCCAGAGCTCAGCAGACACCACTCTGGCCCTTCCCCCTGACTTTGCCCAGCCACCATTCACAGTGTCTCTGATAACACAGCCACATGATGCTGATGACCTGCCAGCTTGAAGATCCAAGGGCAGAGACTGCTGGGTCCTGGGGTTGGGAGGCTTCTATTAGAATTAGGTGGTGAGGTGGCCAGGCATCCTCACACGGGGTTTTATTTTCTTGATTTTATTATAAAATGTGACTGCATTTATGAGAGATTGGGAAAAAACATTCCCTCATTTTTAATGTGTATGATATTCCATTGTATGGCTATACGAACAGTTATTTAATCCTTTTCAAATCTGGGGGCATTGAGGTGGTTTCCACTTTCTAGTGTTGTACGTAATATATATAATTCTGGTGTGGATGTTGTGATGACTGAATACTTAAGATGTGGTCATGCTGTTGGGCTGTGAGGAACCAAGCCACATCTTGGATGCAGGGAACAAGGACTTTCCCAAAAGATGAAGGTACTCATTCTGCCGGTTATCTTAGCACTGCCAACAGCATCCCACCCGCACCCGTTGCCCTACTATGTTATTTTCCCATAGCACTTTGTATCGTACCATACAGTTTTCTTATTTAAATTTAGTGTTTATTTACTTTCTCCCCTTGCTACAATGTAAAACTCCTTGAGGGCATGGATTCTTGTCTGTTCTGTTCACCAGTTCATCCCAAGTGTCTAGAAAGAGTAAATGGCACATAATAAGCCTTCAATAAATGTTTGTTGAATGAATGAATGAACTCTCTGGGTAAGAGGCTTGTCCTCAAACAGAAGGTGCTTACAGATAGCTCTCCGTGGTAACAGACTTTTGTCCTTGACTGGACAAGGTGACAAGGTATTGGAGAAGTGGTTCCTGGGTGGTAGAAAGCAAGAAGGCTCATTCCACGTGGAGGAAGTGAGGAATCAAAAGCCAGCACATGGCAAGAATTGTGAGTTGCGAGCACCCACTGGGGCAAGAGCAGGGATGGCAAAAGCCACAGTCCATTTGGCAGCCCACTCTCCAGCCCCTACGTTGTGACAGACACTACTCATGGGACTCTTTTTTTTTTTTTTTTGTGAGGAAGCTCAGCCCTGAGCTAATGTCCATGCCAATCCTCCTCCTTTTGCTGAGGAAGACTGGCCCTGAGCTAACATCTATTGCCAATCCTCCTCCTTTTTTTCCCCCCTTTTCTCCCCAAAGCCCCAGTAGATAGTTGTATGTCATAGTTGCACATCCTTCTAGTTGCTGTATGTGGGACGCGGCCTCAGCATGGCCAGACAAGTGGTGTGTTGGTGCGAGCCTGGGATCCCAACCCGGGCCGCCAGTAGTGGAGCGCGCACACTTAACTGCTAAGCCACAGGGCCGGCCCCTCCTGGGACTGTTACTGAGCCTCAGGATCCTTCTCAACTCACTCTTCCAGGCAGCCACTGCCAGTGGCTTATAAATTGAAGCCTTGCCTGGGCTAGAAAGTAACCATCTTATCCAAGCTTTGGGACAGACTAAGACTTGTGAACTGGAGGGAAACGTTAGCCATGGCCCCATCAGAAGATGACTTTCTGAGCCTGGTGAGGTTTTTAAAAAAGTGGCAGCCATCTATCTCCAGAACTTTTTTCATCTTGTAAAACTGAAACCCTGTACCCTTTAAACAATAACTGCCCATTGCCCCCTCCTAAGCCTGGTGGTTTTAATGCCTGTATTTTCTTTATTTCCATGCTGTGCTCTCTTGGTGTTCAATAAAATCTTTCAGAAAGCATAGCAGCTGTGCTAGGAGAAAGGCCTTTTTTCCACACTTGAGCCAGAGCTACCAAGTAGGCCTTTGGGAGGCCAGTGGCGTGGCTGTGATGGAAATCAAGAGTGAGAGTACCCCTGGGGACAGGGGAAACTCAGGGGAAGGAGCCTGGCCTGCAAGGTTCACCTGCCCTTTACCACCCAGAAATAGTGGAAGGTATGCTGCAACCTAGCTCTCAACCCCAGGGGCCCTTCACTTATTTTCACTGGACTTGGAAACTAATGCTTGAGCCTTGAACTTGAGGAATCTCAACCCATGGCCACAGCAGCTTTTGACTGTCCCATAATTCTAAGTTTGAACATCATAAAGATTCGGCCGTATGACAGCTTCTTAGTCCCTTGCTTCTCTGCCTTAGGAATAAAAAAATGTAAAATTGGAAAGTGCAAACAACTGAGATTAAGAGGCAGAGTGGAAAGAAGTGGGAATATCATAAATAAAAACCACAGGTAATGCAGTGGTGTTCTGGCTCCCAATCTGCTTCCTGTTAACGCTGCTGCTCTATCCCTGCCCTCTAACATTCATGGCTGTCATTTTCCTTCTCTTTGATCTCTCATGCCAATTACTGACACACTGCAACACTGCAACGTGCATCCTGATTTATCTTCCTTGTTACACGCTCGGGCCTGTGGAAGGGCTCACAGGAACCTCACACACACACGGAGAATTCCAAGCAGCATTAAGAGAATTTAAAATGTTACCTTTTGGATACGTTGGTTTAAGCCAGAAAATAGGAAGGTCGCCACAGAGTTCTAAGACTTTAGAACTCAAGAAGCTGTTGTCCTTCACAGGCTGGTCTACAGCCACCCAGATAAGAGAATTTTCTTCATATTTAACTGGCATGATCTTGCCTTCCTGAAGTAAAAACGAGATACAGTGAGCAAAGAGGACAGTGGAACATGCTGCATGTTGAGATTCATGTGTTGGTAAAGGATTATTTTGCCTTATGAAAATTTAATGAGAATTCTGTGTGTATGTATGCACGGGCATGCGTGTATGCACGTGCGCACACACACACACACACACTTTAAGGTTCTAATCTTTTTATAGCTCTCTTCACAATATGTGGCGCCCCTCTTGTCGTCCTGCCTTTGGATAGCTGGAATGTGTGGATACTAGTGTCCTGAGTGGAAGTGAAAATTACTTGATATCAAGTTTGAGATTTAGGTTAATCTGATGTTTTTGATCAAAGATGTTTCTGAGGAAAAGCAATTGAGTGGACCTGGAATCCTATAAAGGACAGAGGAACCTTCATCTGAAGTGAAAATCCTTTGGGGTTTTATTCTGTAGCTTCCGAACAACAATGGAAAAAGCAAGTGATTGGTTCTTTAATGTCTTCAGTTCAAAGTCTTATTTAACATAAACCTTTTCTACATTTCCCAGCTGTAACAAAACGTATCTCAGATGTTCCTCGCATCAAGCACACCACTGAGATTTCAAAGCTAAACCCTGGATTTTCTTCTACAGTGAAATGCTGAGAATGGTTTGATAACCCAGGAGACAAATTTATTTTGCCAGATTGTTCCTTTCATGTATTTATTAGTTTGCAATAGGTTGGAGAAATTAAAATGTTTTCTCCTTATTTTTAGCTCAAAGCAGCACTTCATTTATGCCTCCTCCCTCAGGCTTATGGCTGCATTAAAACAACTTAAAGTTACTGGAGGAAGCTAACGCTCAGGTAATCCAGTTATTTACCTTAAATTAAATGACTCCATCCAGGAAATGAATGCTTTTTGGGTATAGTAGCTTTTTAAAGTTACACAAAACTGATGAAAAATGTATGAGAGCAAGTGGTGCATAAATCTACCCCATCATAATCCAAAAGTGTGGGCAGAGAGTGGGATGATGGGGATAATGCGTATATATGCATCCTACAAGCTAGGAATGTTAAACTTATGGCACATACTTTCAGTGGCCTACCCGATCTCCTTCGCTCTCCTTTTCCTTGCAACACAATCCTGCTTCTGTCTGAGGCAGCAATGTGCCTGGCCCCAGGAGAGACACTTGCTTTCTCGGACTCTCCAGCTAGGGCTACTCGTGTGACCAGTTCTAGACGGTGAGATCCATGCTGACATATGTTGGTGGGCTGAGAAGTCTGCTTTTTTTGATTAAAGGGAAGTCAGGGTTAGCACTGCTCAACCTCTTCCTGACTTCCTTACTTGAATGCATGGTTGATGTTTGGAGCAGGAAGGAAAGGCCAAAAAATCAGAGATGCTGGCCACTGAGCCACTGCTTGCGGCCACCATCTCCACATTACTTACTATGGAGAAAAACAAATCCTTATTTGTTTAAGTCACTCTAAGTGTAGTTTTCTGCTACTGATAGCCAAAAACATTCCTAATTTACCCAAACATATTGTCTGAATTTGGTTTTGTCCATCAGAGCATCCACCATGCACAATATAAACAACTAAAACACAAGACAAATAATTCACCTCTATGGGCCTAAGAAAAGAATCAGATGCAGACAAAGATTTAAATATAAAAGTATTCACCACAGTGAATTATTTCTGTATTCAAAAAATTATTTTGAATTATTATTATTTGAAATAGTGAAAAATTGAAGATATCTAAAGTATTCAAGAATAGACTTTTAAAATTATAATGATATGATGATATATAATACATCCATTATAATCTATATTTTAGAAGAACTAAAGTTAAGTGAAAATAATAAGAATGTATAGCAAAAGAATATCACATGCACTTGCACATGAAGAAAATTCACCAAAACATTAACATGAGCTATCTATGGATTATGCAATTGTGGGTGATTTTCTTCACTACTCTTTTATGTGTTTCCTAAATTTTCTACAAGGACAAAGTATTGTTTTTAAAAATTATGGGGAAAAAAAGCTTGTTTTTGAAAAACCCAGAAAATGTACTGCAAACTTATGATTAGCTCTCAGTCAGCTCTGGTTGGGGAGTTGGTTCTTTTGGAAGGCAGGAGAAGAGATCTAGTTCTATGTCCACTATGGGGAAAATGTCAAGGATTATAATTCACTAAAAGGCTACATAACAGAAACAGTGATATGACTATAAAAAAAAAATGGTAATGCAGTAAGAGAAGTTCAAGAACAAAGGAGGTGTTGGTCCATTTTTATTCACACTGAGGGTGTGGCCTTCTGCTCTGAACAGGACAGCTCACGAGGAAGAACTGGACCAGGGTCAGAGGAGAACAGCTGGAAACCATCTCGCAGGACGAATGGTTGGGGAAACTGGGAGTAGAAAAGAAAACCGAGGACATGATGCCAGCTTTCAAAACGCACAGGCTGGTTTTTAGCTTTTGTTTTGAGGCGCCTTCTGCTGCTGCTCCCACGAGGGCAAACAATCGGGCAGTTTCCAGGCACCTTTGCTTACCCTTATTTTCCCTCTTTCACCTTGAGGGAGCTGATGCTTGCTTCACCTCCCTCTCAGGGATACTGGAAGGATCAAACATGATCATAATAAAATTAATAATTATAGCAGCAGCCATCCATTCACTATCTAGTAGGTTCTAGGGCCATGAGGACAGTCTGCATACCCCTAGTTTGTAGATGACAAAAGTGAGGCTCAAAGAGTTGAAGCCACATCCATAGCAAGTGTCAGAGCTGGGATTTGAACCCACATTTTTCTGACTCCAAAGTGCATTTTCTTTCCACCATACCCTGTCACAACTCAAATGGAAGACGATAATGAATGTGACCACTTCATAAGCCCTTATTAAAGTATGAAATAAATGTAAGGTATTATCGCTAAATGTATTTTTAGAACTCTCTGTGCAATTCTTAAATTTTTATAAAATCAAGACCAAAGGCAAGCTATTAATAATAAATGGAAGAATTATGTTTATAAAACCTCACAAGTTTGAAAAGGAATTCAATATATGTTGAGTAGCTTCCTTAGGCTGAACTTGAACCAACAGGAAGAAATTGTAGGGGGAGCCATCTCAGCTCAACGTAGGGCAAAATGATTAGAACTACCTCCCATGAAGTTGCCTGGCACACAGGGAAGGGAGCACCCTGTCACTGCTTTCCAGCAGAGGCTGGGTGAGGAGCTGTCGAGGCTTTTCAGAAGGAATTCTCACCTTGAGTGGAACTGAGGCTAAACGGCTCTAGAGACCCCTTGAATGAAGATTCAATCATGTGAAGTCCTTTATGTTGTCTTAATCACTGATCAGATAGTTCCCTAACATCAGGCAAATGAGGGCCACGTGAAGACCGAGCCCCTTTATGCACTCTAAAATATGGTTTTCCAAAACCTTTCAATATACTACATCATGTAAGAATGCTCACTTAGAACCAACCAGTAGGACCAAAATAGTTTCAATTCCTTTGGCAGAGAAGACATAGAACTTATATTCTGGTCACGAAACTATCCAGGAACTAAAGACAAAAGGGTTGTCCTTCAAACAATGTCTACCAAACCCTCTTGCTCTCTGGAGCACGCTGGTACCCACCAGTTCAGAGGAGATGCTCTGTTTGGTCATGGTGCCCACCTCAGGAACGCGAGCCTTCACCTGTGCTTTGATGTAGCATTTCTCTCCTCCAGCAAAACGGATTCCTGTGATGCCCTAGGAAATAAAAGTTTATCCATCCGTCTATCCGTCCATTCCTTTATTCAATGTATTGAGTGTCTACTGCGAGCCAGGCACTGTTCCAGGTCCTGGGTCCAGGGATGAACAAAACAGGTGGAATCTCTGCCTTCATTGCAGCTTACCCTTTAGCATCATTTACCAAAAACAAAAAATAGAGATAAAGTCAGGTGGTGATATGTGCTATGGAGAAAAATAAAGCAGAGTGCGAGATAGGAATGACAGCGAATAGTACTTTAGACAGTGTGGTCAGGGGAGGCCTCTACCAGGGGGTGGCATTTGAGCTGAGAAGGAGTATGTTAATTGCTCCATAGATCCCGCGAGCTCAGAGGAAACAGCATCCTTTCTATGCAGCTTTCTCTGACCATCCCAGTCTAGGGGGGCTCTTCTCCCTCTGACTTCCCATAAGCCCTCACGTCTTCGTCTCTCATTTGGCATTTAGTTCTCAGTGCCTCTATGGTAGTTCCTTGTGAATGTCATCTCCTTACTCAATTATAAGCTTCCTGAGATTGGCACCTGAATCTTTTCTTTTTGGTGATCGCACAAAGGTTCCCAAAAGGTGTTCGTCCAGTTAATTAATTCCATGAATTTAGATTTTTCCTAAGTTAATGAGCCCAGAGTAGATAGTAAAGTTTTCTACAACACCAGGAGCTAAACTTTGCTCCTAGGCCTTACCCAAGGACTTGGATATTTTGTTTTTGTCCCTCGTGAGGAATAAACAGTGTCTCCTCCTCATCTGCCTAGGGACCAGCCTCAAGGGAAACCTCAGCCGCAAGGGTCCAGTCTTGGCTGACAGCTCAGCAGTGATTCTGCCTGCGAAGACTATCAGGCACAACAGTACGCTCTGTGGCAAGAGGGTTCACTTTCACCCTGCTGGTTAATTTCATGACTAGTGAGTGGCCAAAAACAGTATCAAAGGTCTACACATTTTATGCCATAATAATGTAGACACCAACACAAATCTGAATATCTCAACCTGTCAATCTTCTGTTGAGTTGAGACAAATGTCAGGAAGATACAGAACCTGTTCCAGGGTCAATGCCAAGGAGTGGTGGAAGAAAAGCATTTAGAAATGTAGGGGTCTTGGCTCAGGATTCAGCCCTCGTAAAAGAAGAATGAAGTTAAATGTAAGTCATGCTTCAGGATATTCAGGGCAAGTTATATACACCACATGAATCTCAGAGCCAGGAGCCCTACAAAAGCTGGTGAGTGACAGACTGGAGAACAGAGAAGGAAAGGCTCGTTCTTCCTAAAGCTCCTCATTATTTGCCTGGCGGCCTAATTGGCCATGTACACATATGTGACACATATCACTTATCTCCCCCAGTGTCACCTCTCACCCGGAGAAAGGTGATGGCATCATCCCTGCTCACAGAGGAGGAACTCCAGGCTTACTGCAGAGGTTCTCGACTCAGTGCACCAAAATTACCTGGAGAGATTTTTAAAACACAGATGCCTGGGCCTCTCCTCAGAGATTCCCATTTAATTGGCCTGGGGTGGTGCCCAGACACTGGTATGCTTAAAGCTCCCCATGAGTTTATAAAGGACAGCCAGAGGGAGGACCACTAGTTTAGGAAGAAAAGAACTTGTTCAGGGTAACAAAGTTTTTAAATGACTGAAATAGCCTACTGTAGACTGAATATTTGTGTCCCCCCAATATTCATATGTTGAAACCTAACCCCCAGAGTGATGGTATTGGGAGGTGGGGCCTTTAGGAGTTAATTAGGTCATAAGGGTGGAGCCCTCATGAATGGGATTAGTGCCCTTATAAAAGGGACCCCAAAGAGCTCCTTTGCCCCTTCTGCCATGTGGAGACACAGTGAGAAGATGGCCATCTATGAATCAGAAAGCAGGCCACTAGACACTAGACACTAGGGTGTCAGTAGACACCCAATCTGCCGGCGCCTTAATCTTGGACTTCCCAGCCTCCAGAACAGTGAGAAATAATTTCTGTTGTTTAGAAGTCACCCAGTCTATGGTAATTTGTTACAGCAGCTGGAATGGACTAAGACACAGCCTTTGGACCCAAGTTTCTTCTGTACCAGTGGCTCACAAACTTTCCCTTGCATCAAAATCACCTAGAGGACTTGTTAAATAAAACAGAGTATTGGGCCTCACCCCCAGAGTTTCTGATTCATTAGGTCTGGAGTGGGGCCTAAACTTTGCATTTCTTTTTTTTTTTTCTTTGTGAGGAAGATCAGCCCTGTGCTAACATCTGCCAATCCTCCTCTTTTTTCGCTGAGAAAGACTGGCCCTGGGCTAACGTCCGTGCCCATCTTCCTCTGCTTTATATAGGAGGCCGCCACAGCATGGCTTGCCAAGTGGTGTGTCAGTGCTCGCCCAGGATCAGAACCAGGGAACCTCGGGCTGTTGCAGCAGAGCTTGTGCACTTAACCTCTTGCGCCAGTGGGCCGGCCCCTAAGCTTTGCATTTCTAACAAGCTCTTAGGTGATGTTGCTGCTGGTGGCCTGAGGAACACACTTTGAGAACCACTGCTCTCTCTGCTCTCTCCTGAAGCTCTGCTGCTCTTATCTGCATGTAAGTCTAGCGCTCATGGCTCATGGTTTGAAAAACAAAACGCAGGAGAGGGAGATTACTATCCCTCTATGTGATATGTTCTCTTAACTTCACACCCTCATATCCTCGGAATGGGAGACATAAGGGAGGAAACACCAGATAACCGTTACCATATCCCCAAAGGACAGAGTTGCTTCTATTGAAGGATTCACAGCTCTGAATGTGAATCTAGTATTGAGTTAGTTCTGACGGTCTACACGCTGCAAAGAGAACTGAAACCCCATAGGGATGGGTCCTGTGGGGAGGAATTCACATGTATTAACCACCGTGTCTAGCTACAAATCCATATCAAGCAGCCAGACATATTAAGAGATTAAACAGAGGGAATGAAAAAGTCCAAGAAAGCCAAGCAAACTCCTGCTTTTGCAAACAAACAAGGCCTTAGAAGCTGGTGATAAGGAAGAAATTTGCTAACAAAGGTAATGAGCGAAGGGTCCATGATCTCACATTCTTTTATCGAGAGTCAGGTAATCTCATTTTAGCCACACGTTTTTTCTTTCTGGGGGATCTCATCTATTTCTGTGGCTTAAACCAGAAGTTCCGAAGAAGGGTGAGGGGTCCTTCCCCGAAGAGGGCACTTTAGAAATCCTTGAGGGAGTTTTTCGTTGTCACAAAGACTGGGGGCTCTACTGGCCTTTATTGGGAGGGCCCAGGGATGCCGGGGCTGAAGAGCCTGGGGAGGTCCTGAAGAGCTAGCTGCCCTGGGTCCTGGGTGAAAAGCCTGATTCTAAGTGTCTGTGCCTAGAACCTAACACCATTTTACATATAAACACAAAGTGATTTTTGGCATAGTTTTAATGTACAGCCAATTCCCTAGGAATGCAATTACTCGAGAAATTAGAGAAAATGATACTCTTGTTCACAGTTTGAGAAAATTCCCTGGTACTTAATTTGTCAACACACTCTTAGATCAGTCTGCATTTTAGCTGTGGCAGTGACAGTGACTGAAGCAAGCATTTGACTTGATGATGTCTTTGAGTACATCAGGCTGAGCATTTACATATCGAAGCCCAAATTTTATTGTAAATTACTTTCATTTTATTAGTCCTTTATGTTACAGTTGGGGGCTACACTGATTTTTGAAATCAATAACCTACCTAGCTACCAGGTAAGGTTATGCTATCTTTTTTTTCCTACAGCTTTTTAAATTAAAACTTTCAAATATTCGCAAAGTTAAAAGAATTGTATAGTGAACACTTGTATATACCCACCGGTTTATTCTATTTTAATTTCTAACCAGGATTTTTGTTATATAAATGGGTCATTCGGTATGAGAGGGTTGGCTTAAGCCACCAGCACTGATGCTTTTGAGGGCATAACTTTCTAGAATGTAACTATGAACTAACCCAGTTTTCGTATTTCTTAGGGTATGGACAAAGGCTCTCCTTGACCTAACTCTAGTCAGGCTGCTCTGAGGCCCTTTTCTAGGCCCCGACCTTGGCTCTGTCTTGGCCTGCTTATACCAGTTTTAGCAAGAATCCTGCTGAGTCAGCCCTGGTCTGACCACTCTCAATATCTGATCACCCTGGCCTTCCTTCACCAAAAATCCTGTTAAGTCAGTTTAGCAAAGAACTACTCTACCTCTCAGTAATTTTCCATCCACCAACACTCCCACCCTGCTCCTTGGCTATAAATACCCACTTGTCCTTATTGTGTTCCGAGTTGAGCCCAAGCTCTCTCCCCTACTACAAAACCCCACTGTAGTAGCCCCCCTTGAATAAAGTCTGCCTCACTTTCTTTAACAAGGGTCCGGAATCATTTTTCTTTAACAGTACAGAGGCTGGAGCCCTCTGCTCAGTGCTATTCCTCCTAAGGAGGTTTTTTTCCATTGGCTCTACTAAAATCTTGGTGGAGACTGGGTTAACAGGGGAGACTCTTCCCTTACAATTCAGAACCTTTCCAACTCTGGCCCCACCTACGTCTCCATTCTCCCCACTTCCCCACCTTTAGCCGCACTGGGCTACTTAGAACTCTGGAGCAGGCTTGTCATTTGTATTCAGTATTCTTCCTTGGGCCTGGAAAGCCCGGCCCCTACTTCTCTGCTGGTTGAAATCCTAATCATTCTTCAAGACCTGATTCAGCTGTCACTACCTCTGTAAAACCCCCTCCTACCCCTTAATCGGCAGCAACTGCCTCTCCTCTGTGCTCTGCAGCCTCTGTTCATAGCTCCGTTGCAGCATGTTTCCCAGGCTGACCTGAGCCCCTTCTGTGTGTGTGTCTGCCTCCTGGACTGGACTGTAAGGTCATTGGGGGAGGAAACAAGAGTCATCTTTGCATCCCCCATGCTTGGCACCGTCCCTTGCACACAGTAGGCCTCAATAAACACTGCCTGAATTTGACTGTTGGTTTAAACACAGGAGAAAGCAATAGTGTAGGTACCATAGCAGCTGATTCATGTGTTTTCAAAAGTCCAGGCTTGTTTAAACCCATAACAGGTTCTATCCATCAAAAAAGTGTTCTACTCACCAGTTCTGACTTAGAGAAATGTAGAGGCTATCAAAGAGAATTGATCAGTTTATAAAATATTTGTGGCTCTGTTGGCCTATGAGAACAAAACACAATCAATACCATTATTAGAACCAGAGGATTATAAAACAGAAATATAGGTTTGGGATTAAAATATTTTAAAAGGATATTCCTGATACAAGCACATCTTGAGAGAGATGGAGTGTTTCTTCTTCATCCGTGTAGCAACCTTTGCATATCTTGATATTGTGGTACATTAGAGGTATTCAGTTTTGTTCTGGAGTGAATGATGTGTGTGTGGGAGTCACATTTTATAATTTTATATTGAGCAGTATAAAGAAAAAATGCTTTTACCTTGTCCTGGGTCTTGCAGTAAAAGCCTTTAATAGGTTCAGAAAAATTGTCCTTGTGCACTGACCAGAACCATTCGCAAAGCGATGACTAAATGAAGAGCAAGTGGGCACATGCAGGGTACAGAGCCTGTCCCCAGGGCGCAGCCCACTCTGGACATAGCCAGTCCTTGTCATCATCAAATAATATCTAACATCAGTGGGGCTCTAATGTCAGCATCTGTTTGGTATTCAAAAGGACTTGTGAGGTGTGTTTTGGTACCAACAAGGGGAGTTCTTTCATCAGAATGAAAAGCATTTCTAGTTTTTATCAGTCAGAGGCAAACAGGTCGATGAGATATTTGTAGGCCAATAAACTATTAGAACACACATTATTTTCAAGAGCCTTTTTTCATAATGAAGTCGCACCTACTCCATATACAGATTTAACAGGAGAACACAAGTAGTGATGCCTCTTCCTCATCTTAGAACGTGAAAGAGAGTAAGATTTTTATGTTGGGCAACAGGAAAGTAGGCCTGGGTGATCCTTTGGATTGTAGATGTACATTGAAGCATTGATACATAGCTTAATGTATCAAATTGCCTGTAAATTGAATTTTTGAAAACAAACATGTTTGCCCTTTTCAAAGGAGAATCAAGTATTTTATCTGTAATAGGCCATGGTTAGAAAACACATGATATAATAGAGGAATTTCTCCATGATAATTTTCTGGATTAAATGGAAAATCTGAAGAATTGAGAAAGTATGTAAATAGATCCCACCTGTTGTTGAGATTATTAGTTTATTAAAATTTACCTCCTCTTTCTGTAAGTTAACAATTCAGACCCTGCAACATTCTAGGATAGTTTCAGCATTTTATTCACCATGTTACAGAAAGCTGCTTGAAAGAAATAGCTTTTTCAACCCTTTCTGCCAAGACTTGATATAGTTTCAAGAAGAACCTGTTCTTTTCCATGTTGAGATGTTTTTTTTTCCTTTTGATAATGTAAAAGACAAAGTGTGGTCCTTTTTTAGAGAGAATGTGCTGCATGATGTATGTGGATTAGTGGCACTATGACTGCTATAAAGAATAGTTACCATTTGGATGTGTGTGAGAGATGCTACTGCTCCCTGAAGTAGAAAAGTCTCCCAGGCTTGCCTGGTTAAACTCTCTAAATGCATGAAATATACTTACATTCTGGAAATCATTAACTTCAATTGCTTCTTCAGCCCCACTTCCCATTTTAAAGGTCTCCAAGTTGTTCCCAGCATCTATTTCCATTGACCCATCTTGTAATTTCCCATTGATACTCATGGTATAATGGACGTTGTAAATCTGGAAGTGAACATAAGAGTTAGTGATGCTTTCCTTTTAGAGCAATTCAGGGCTTGTCTTTAGACCTCCAGTATATGAGATAACTTTCATATTTGTCAGAGATACACTGAATCATCCTTAATAGTAAAACATTTATATATGAGGACTTCATCCATATACCAATCACTTAATACAATGATGTCTTAAAAAACACCTTAAAAGTAAAACCTTTCATAGTCTCTGATACCACTTCAAATAGCTCAATGATTCACATTCCTGGCTGTGTATAGAAGCATCTGAGTAGAATCTCCAGCCATCATGCCTGCGTTTCCCCCTGGACCAATCAAATCAGAGCCTGTGGGGATGGAGTTTGTGCATAGATCTTTCTTTTTCTTTTTTTTTTTTTTAGAATTTTTTAAATTAATTTTTATTTTATTTTTTTCCCCCAAAGCCCCAGTAGATCGTTGTATGTTATAGCTGCACATCCTTCTAGTTGCTGTATGTGGGACGCGGCCTCAGCATGGCCAGAGAAGCCGTGCGTCGGTGTGCACCCGGGATCCAAACCCGGGCCGCCAGTAGCAGAGTGCGCGCACTTAACCGCTCAGCCACGGGGCCGGCCCAGATCTTTCTTTTTCTAAAGGTCAATTATACTGTGTGGCCAGAGTTGAGACACATGGATGGATAAATGGAAATTGAAGAGGCAGAGGGTTAACTGGCTGTTAACTGAACAAGTCTGCAGTGGTACCTCAGTTGGAAGGTTATTTTTAATCCTTTGGTCAAGATTGGGCATGGAGCGTGGTATATACCAAGGACTGCAGACAGGACTAGGAGATGCCTGATAGACAGCAGCATTTGTAGAGAGCAAGGTCAATGTACACATCTGTTTCAGCTCAAAATGGGAGTTACTCATTTTAATGACTCTATGGGACAGGCGTATGGTGTTGTAGGGCATTATGTTGTGGTGTTGTAGGGTGTTATGAGACTTGTTGGGGGAGAGGGGAGGGAGACTTGGCCTTGTGGAAGAGTCCTGGTCCAGAAATCAGAAAAACTGGCGGCCATACCACTTGTACCTGGGTCTTGGGAGTTGCCTCGAGTGTGAGATGAAGAAGCCGGACTTCATAGCTGGTTTCCATTTATGTCCTTAGAGCTCTGAGGTTTCGCAGAGGTGGCCCAGAGGTGAGGATGGCCGAGCAGGTGGGACTGTGGGGCTCTCTTCTCCCCTGTCCACCCCCAGCTTAACCAGAGAGGCTCTGCTGCTTATCTGTTTTATGTGTTGGATTTCTGAATAAAATCCTAAGAAAAATTCTGCTGTTAAATTTTTTTAGAAGTTTAACACTACATTAGACGATCTAAAGTGCTCTTGGTTTAGACATCTTGTTGGTACACTAGTTGAAAAATAATTCACACTCTGCTCCTGCTCAGTGTGCTGCTGCCCTGCTAGAACGTTCTCTGTGTCAGATATATGCATATGTTATATCATATATAATATATATAAAATCTTTAAAGGGGAAGGAATGAGGACTGATGAAAGACACTTGCTACATAGTGTCAGGTCAGATGAAAGACACTTGCTACATAGTGTCAGGTCAGTAGGTCAGAACTGCAAATAGCTCAGATTCAAGTCAAGTCTGATTTCTCCCTCATTATGAAGAATGACTGCTACATGGACACACATTGGAAAAAGTATCTGTTGTTATTGGATCATTCTTGCAGAAAACTCATTATTATAAGACCCACAGAGCACTGTTTTATCAGCAGAGATGTAGAAATAGCTTTGCTGGCCAATACACTTTAAGGCAACAGCCTTCATTCAGTGGAACAGAAAATATCAGCATCCTACTTCATCTCAACCATCTCTTGGTGCCCCTCCTTCCCTCAGTCAGATGAACTTCGATTCCTGCTGTATACTGTCTCCTCAGCTTGTCTGATCATATGAACCACTTCTAGGGGTTCTGATTTAGTGGAGCTGGAGCAGAGCCCACCAATCTGTTTTCACTTTGCACCTTAGGTGGCTCAGCCAAGTTTGGGAAACCTGTTTTCTTTGGCTGAGCTAGTGCTTTCTGCAGGTAAGGTTTAGAAAGCAGGCTCTGTTCTGTCCCTGTGCTCTCTGAGCAGCCACTATTCACATGGGTTAATTATGCCTGTCAAAAGGAGCATGGCAGATAACACTTATGTGAGTTCCTGCTGGCTTAAGCATCGTTTACTCCTGCGACAAGAGGCTCCTTTATTTTTTTTGAAAGCATTGCACATAAGACTTTACTAGTAAAGCAGTGCAAAACTTAAGAAATTAACTGTTTCCAAATTCTTAGCAGGCTTAAGGAGACAAGATTGTAACGCTGGAAGAGTGGCTTTGGTCCTAATTCCACCTTCCTCCATCACCACCTTCCTCCCAACAAAGCTTGCTAACTAGGTATAGGTATGGCATCCTTTGTAACTGTAGCTTCAGCCCATCTTTTAGAAGCAGTACACTGTCTGCATGGGGCAGCAGTGAGGTCTGTGTTCTCCTGAAGTGACTGGGGTGGAGGGTGGTAAATAGTCTGAAGTTATTTCCAAAGTACTGGGTCCTGAGCTCAGAAGGAGGCTGGGCTGGTGGAGCAGTAATCACATTATCTGCTCTAAACTGTTGGAGCCGTTAGCACCTCAGGCTATTTCTATCCAAGTACAATGAAATGTATTATTTGCCAAAATTCTGCTCAATATGGTGCCTTTTACAGCCAAGGATATTTGCTAATGAGTTTCTAATAAGGGTTCTATAAGATTAATTACATAATGTTTGGGACAACGTCTAGAAAAATCAGTCTGAGAATAAAGGCCCCAAGCCATGATCTCATCCCCTCATCCCACAGAGTGGGGTTGTCAATTATCTCATATTGGTGGGAATTTCCCATATTTCAATGCCTTGTTGCATTTACAATAATGTGGATGAAACATGGCCTCAATATTTGAGACGGATCTCTTGTCCCTCAATATTAGCACTCCAATGCTTCAGTCCTCCAGCTGACTTGGAGTAAACATGTCCTAAGGGGATTTACCCATTGGAAGGGGATAGGAGGTGACTTACAGCTGGTTCTTCCCTATAAACCAATATAGAGGAGCAGAGGCATGGACAATCCCCAAAGAGCGGGTTGTCCACTTGATTGGGCATGTCTTTCTGTTTGACAGTGACTTACCTCTTGATTATGCTTTGTTTGGGCTATTTAGATTTGAATCCAGGGAAAGCAGACCTGTGCATGTACTGTGCATCAATGGTGCCAGATTCACTCTATTTAGTATTTTGTGATTTGTTTTTCAGATAATGTGGATCGGCATCAGATATTTTGGGAGTTAAAAAAAAAAATCATGATTTTCTTCATTTTCCTGCCTGTATAGGAAACAGCAATAACTTCGACTGTTGGCAATACAATATGATTCACTATTCCCCTATTCTCAGAATTTAATACTGTTCTCTTGAACCAGACAACCATCTTGCAGTAAAGTAAAAGTCAGGAAAAAAGGGAGCCCTGCTTATTCAGTATGATCTTTCAGTCTCTCTTTCCAGAAGCTTATCAGTTAGCTGTGTTGGCCCTGAATAATCAAATGCCATGTGGTATTCATCTTAACACATATCATGACCAAAATCTTTACCAAAAAAAAAGCAAAGCTATTTTTATCCCCAAATGACCTATACTGTTGAGTTTTTGTCATTTAAAAGATATCATTTACATATGAATGCCGTAGAATTTCCCAAGGGATGACAATCTAAACCCTACTATTAATGGAGATGTAGATATTGAAATTGTTCTCGTGTTCAGATTTGCTGCTTTCAAATATGAGCATCTGGCCATCAAATATGAGCTTCTATATTTAAAATACAAATACATTAAGGCACTTTTCAAATATACACAAAATACTGTGCAATTCTGATCTTACAAATCGATGCTTGTAAATTTGATATAGTCTCTAAAACAGACTCAGTGCTAAATGGCATGCTTATCTACATTAGGCATTTGAGTTAAAAATACAAATTATGCAGTGACTGCAGAAGATGTGAGGTGTGAAATGGCTGAATTGCTTTCAGCACCATTTTCTCTAAGTACTGGAATTTGTTCACGCTTTGAATTTCATGGTGGGAGACAGAGGGAAAAAACAGCAGTCAGAGATCCTCCGAGGGTAGTGATTAAGAAACAGCCCTTTGTGTGCACCCTGGAGAAGGAATTCATTTCCAGTAGTCGAAATAAGCTTATACCAGGCCTGGCACTGGTCATCAAGATAAAATGCCCCCGTCTACAAAGGGGAACAAAACAAATTCTGCTCAGTGAAGTTAGAAGCGCTTTTATACTCCTTGAGAGCCCGTGGAACTTTAAAATACATAGTTGCATGCAAAGAAAGTAGGACAGCGCTTAGTGAAACATTTACCATTAAATCACATGTGACCGGGCCAGAATTGATTTTTAAAGAGATTTGCCACCTTTAAGGAAGTTAGACCTTTTTTTCCTTAGGGCAAGAGAGAAGGGAGCATTAATGGATAGGTCCCACGCAACACCCAAAATTCCGGAAAGGTCAAATTCGTCCCCAGCCCTGGGTCTGAATCTTCCTCCACTATCTTTGTCCCAGGTTCTTAAATGCACAGCCTTTCTCAGTTGGGAGAGGGCTTAGAGATCATTTAGTTCCATTTCTTCCCTAAGGATGAGTAACCCGAGGCCCGAAGGTGACGTGCCTTACCCGTGGTCACACAACTGCCTAGTGGAAGCGCCAGGCTAACATCGGCCGAAAACGGCTTTCCTCGACCCGTCCACTGCATTTTCCCGCTACCCTATGTTTTGATATTCTCGCTTAAAACCCTGACTTGCTTTTCTACAAAGTTGCCTATGAGCATGAAGCTGCACAGTGGACCTGCATGGAAGAGGCGAGAGGTCACCGGGAGACCCTAGAGGAAAGCAACAGCTGGGGCGAGAGGGCGCTCTGGCTCCACCTAGGGCGGAACACGCGGGTGACAGAGAGGAAGGACCCCGCCACTCCGCGCGCCTCCCCGCGCCGCGCACCTCCCCGCCCTGCGCTCCCCGACTCGGGTCTGCACCGCGCGCGCCGTCCTCTGGACTTACGTGATTGTCGCCCCCCTTCCAGAAGTAGAAGGCCCCGATGGCCCCGAAGAGCAGCAGCACCGCCCCCGAAATGAGGACCGCGGCTCCGACCTTGAGCAGCCGCGCGGGGCTGGAGGGCTTCACGGTCACCGTGGCGTACGCCTGCGGGCGGGGCCGGAGAGGACCGGTCACGTCTGCGCCGCCGGCACTGGCGGTCCCCGCGCGGCGCCCCCCGGGACTCAAGGGTGCTGCTGCTCGCCCTGAGCTCCTTCGGGCGCCCCCTTTCGCCGCGCTCCCTCCTGCGGGTCCCCGGTACTCAGGCGTGGATGTGGGATAAGCAAACTTTTCGCGGATCTGCACTGTCTGCCGGCCACAGGACGCCCCCCACCCCGACTCCCTTTTCACCCTCCCCTTCACACCCGTCTGCGGATCCCGTGCCCGCTGCACACGCACACACGTGGGGCGCCAACCCACACGCATATTTGGGTGCCCAAATGTGCTCCCACATTCGGTGGCACAAATCCTGACCCCGTACAGTGGATCAGGACACCCACACGAAGCCCGGGCCATGGGTGTGGACTAACCTGGCAGCGGGACTGGGGGTCCTGGGCGGTACTCACCGGTGGACTGCAAAACTCGACGTTGTCAGGCCCCACCAGGGCGATGGGAACTTTGTCGGAATTCTCCATCATGGCTGCGGCAGGAGGAGCGAGTCACCAGGAAGCTCCGCGCGCGCCCTGGGCTCTGTCCTGCTGCCCCGACGTACCAGGCATTTCAACGCCACACACACAGACACACACACGCGCGCACACACACACACCGTGCCCCGTCCCGCCTGGGCCAGCCCAGCGGTTCCCACCCCTTCCAGCGCCTCACCTCTCTCCTCCCCTCCCTCTCCCGCCCAGAGCAGCTGTGTGAGCTCGTCCTGCATTCCAGATGCCCCGTCTTCTGGCTCACTCTGTCTACTAGCCCCCCAAAACACCTTGGTAAACCTGAGTGTGCCATGGTAGGGATGAGGGGGAGGGGGATGGGCAGACCAGGGATGCTGAGTCCTGCGACTCCGAGAAATGTTAAATTGCCAGGACGCTTTCCACCATCCAAGGATCTCTTATGTCAGGGGGCTCTGCTGTGACACCTGGCTGAGGGCCCATTCCCTGCCTTTGTAGGGGTGTTGAGGGGCTGGTGGAACTGGACCCAGAGGAGAGTAGAGTCGTTCAGGTGGACAGGGGACACTGGCTCAAGTTTGCCAAGGTTTACACCGCCTGGCATTGCTGGATGGCCTCTGGACTAGAGCATGGGGCAGGGCCTTGGAGGTGGCCCTTGCCACTGCTGTCTCTAGGAGGCCTAGCAGGAGTGTACAGCCCAGCAAAAATGAAAGCCAAGCAGAGGGGCTGGGGGGGAGGAGTTGGGAGACCAGAATAAGAGTGCATTCTCCTTGGTTATCAAGTCAGTTAAGTAACAAACAAACAAAACCAACAATGGCAACACACATCCCCCCACCCCCCAAAATGCTATGTCCAAAGGAATAACTAAAATTGATATTTTTTTTAAAAAAGCAGAACAGGGAAAAGTTTTTTTCACTTTTGGAAATGCTATCTACAGTGCTAGTATGTCATGGTACCTCATTTGGAGCCAGGCTTCATTAATTCATACTGAGTTCTAGTTTTATGCAGAGTCCTCTGCTGAGGAGTAAGTGGGGGGGGGGGGGAGTGATGGGAGTCACATTGCAAAGGGTTATAGAGTGACTAAAAATACTTGCATATTTTGCAACACCACACCATAGACAAGGAGCTAGTTTTCTTATACAGAGAGTTCCTGGGAATCATTAAAAGACCAACAATGTAATAGAAAAATGGGCAAAGGATAAGAACAGACAATCCACAGAGGGAGAAATTCAAATGACTCTTAAACATGAGAAAAATGCTTGACTGCATTCATAAAGAGAAATGCAAATTAAAAGTATTCTTTTTCACCTATCAGACTGGCAAAAATAAAAACACTTGTTAAAACCATCTGTTGGAGAGTAGGAGGGGAAGCGAGGCCCTTCCATGTGTTGCTGTGGGTGGGTGAATTTGTATAACTTTTATGGAGAGCAATTTAATTCCAAAATGCAAAGTGCAATTTCATTTCTGTGGATTTATCCCACAGATGCACTCACAAGGGTGGAAAAATCCTGTATGTAGAAGGACACTCATTGCAGCATGTTTGTTAGAACAAAGGACTAGAAACATCTTGAGTGTCCACCGCAGAGAATTTATGGTACATCCTCACAGAGGGTTCTTGGCAGCCATTTAAAAGAATGAAGCAGTTTTGGATACACTAATGCAGAACATTCTCTAAGATATTTTAAATGAAAAAAATCAAAGGATAGAAAATGCGCATAAATGCCTCCATTTGTATAAAAATACAAACAAGAATATATGTATGCATATACTCTCTGGAAAGATACAGAAGATGCTGGTAGCAGAGGTTGCCTCTGAGGAGAGCTGTGGGGCAGAGGGACACCAATGGAAGGACGCTGCTTCACTGTGTACCTTTTGGAACACTTTGAATTCTGTATTGTGAACACACTAACTATTCAAAAATGAGTGAATAAAATAATAAATAACAGTAAGTGGGTGGGGAAGAAGTGAATGCTGCAAATAGAGACAATTCTTTCAAGAACTTTGGCATTGAAAGGAAGAAGAAAGTAAGGAGGATAGATCAAGGGAGTTGAAGGATCAAGGAAGATTCCCCCAACCTCCCAGTCTGGAAAGGGAAAGGGACAGGGATGACAGAAAGATAGGAAAGGAGCGGATGGATCCAAAGCAAGAAGATTAACCTTGAGAAGGAGAGAGGGACTGGAGGGAGTAAGCAATGATGTGGATGCTGTGGGGACACATGGACTTTGAGGGGAGGGACGTTGAGGAGAGGGTGAGTAGTGAGGGGGAAATGCAGGACTCTGCCTCATTCGTACAACAAATGATGCACTGTGTGTCAGGCAGGACACAGAAAGTAGCTGATTGGGGCTCAAGGGGTGGGGATGAGGGGTGGGCGAGGCGACCACTGGCATCCTCTGAGCACATTCTCCTAAGGCGGCATATTTTCAACAATTTTAAGGTAACGTTTAGATGATGATGGATAAGAGTGATGAAAACACAGTAGAAGAAGCAGCAAGGCGGGAAGCCCATGGAAAAGAGGATCAAAGGGGTGCCCATTTCATAAGCTTGCTCTCCTCTGTCCACTTTCCTACTGGACCTAATCGTAGGCTCATTCCCTGGAGGTTAGAATCCAATTCTGCCCTCATGCCAGGCACTGTGCCAGATTTGAGGGCATAGCAATGAGTAAATGAGACATGGTCCCTGCTCTTGAGTTGCTTATAGAGGAGTGGAAAAGGCAGTCATTAAGCAGGTAATCACAAAATAATGGTGTCACTGCATTTGTGATAAACAATATGAGGGAAAAGTACAGGGCACTGTATGATAATACAACATCTAATCGACACTGGGCAGGGAAGGGAGGCAGCCTGAAGAAGTGACATTTAAGCTGAGAATGGAAAGAAGAATAGGAATTTTCCAAGTGGAGACAGGTGTAAGGGTGCAGGAAATGTGGAGAGACAGCGTGTTAGAAGGCCACGAGGTGGCCGGCCTGGTAGCGTAGTGGTTAGGTTCGTGCGCTCTGCTGTGGTGGCCCAGGGTTCGCGGGTTCAGATCCTGGGCACAGACTGATGTACCACTTATCAGGCCATGCTATGGCAGGCGTCTCACATAAAATGGAGGAAGATAGGCTCAGATGTTAGTTCAGGGCTAATCTACCTCAGCAAAAAGAGGAGGATTGGCAACAGATGTTAGCTCAAGGCCAGTCTTCCTCACAAAAAAAAAAAAGAGAAGAAGAACAAGACCATGAGGTAGTAAGGAGTTTGGCATTCAAAAGAAGAAGAGGAGGTTGGACTGTAGAAAGAGAAAGAAAGAATGGCAAGAGATGAGGCTAAGAGAGAGGCAGTTATCTCAGCAAACGAGATCTTCTAGGCCATGTTAAGGTTGGAAATTTTTCCTCTTAATATTGGGAAGTCATTAAGGGATTTGAAACAGTGGAATGGCATGATCAGGTGTGCATTTTAGAAACCTTAGTTTGGCCACTATGTGGTAGAATGATTAAATTGGAGGAGGCAAGAGGGAAAGGGGTAGTTTTTTTGGAGGCTCTTGGAGTGGTCCAGGCGAGAGATGATGGTCAGAACTAGGATAATCGTAAATGATGGAGATAGGAAGAAATAAATGGATTTGAGATCTAGTTTGGAGGTAGAATCAACAAGCTCTGGAGATTGATTGAGTGTGAGGTGTGGGGGAGAGGCCGATGTCAGGATGGCTCCCAGGTTTCAAGCACAAACAACTGAGCCTTGGCTGAGTTTTGGACACGTTAAGTTTGAGACCTATGAAAATTCAAGTGGAGATGTTGTCCTTGATAGTGTCAGTGAAGAAGCAGAGAGGGATATCTGCTGAGACGGAGAGGCCAGGAGACCGAGCACGGCTTATGAAGAGTGGGAGAAGTTGACAGAATCTGTCTGAGAAATACAATGTGGAGTTGAGAAGAGTGGTGACCATTTGAGGCTGGAGAACATGAAGGTGCCAAGACTCTCCATCAGCACTGAACAAACTCAGAGCAAGAGAGAGGGCACTGGATGATGTTGGGGTTGATTGAGTGTATTAGTCAGGGGTCTCCAGAGAAACAGAATGAACAGGATATATACAGAAAGAGATTTATTATGAGGGATTGGGTCACACAATTATGGAGGCTGAGAAGTCCCATGATCTTCTGTCTGCAAACTGAAGGCCCAGGAAAACAGGTGGTGTAAGTCCAGAGAACCAGGATGTCGGAGGGCAGGAGAAGATGGGTGTCCCAACTCAAGCAGAGAGAGTGAATTCACCCTTCCTCCACCTTTTTGTTCTATTTGGGCCTCAACAGTTTGGATGATGCCTACCCACATTGATGAGGGCAGATCTTTATTCAGCCTGCAGATTCAAATGCTAATTTCTTCCAGAAACACTCTCACAGATACCCAGAAACAATGTATTACCAGCCCTCTGGGCATCCCTTCCCAGTCAAGGTGCCACATAAAATTAACCATCACAACATGTTAATTAACTGGATGGGGGAATCCTTCCACAATATATACGTGTATCAAATCACCACGATGTACACTTTAGATACCTTACAATTTTTATGTCAATTATACCTCAATAAAGCTGAAAAAAAAAATCATCACACTGGGTATTGAAGACGGTCTTGGGAAGGGCAGAAGTCAGGGGCTGGGTGATTTTAGGGTAATGGACTGGGAAGAGAGGTCATTGAAGTAAGGAGGGGCTGATGAACTTAGAGATTAAGGAAAATGGCCCGATGGGGCAGGAGAAGGAAAAGCTATGGAGGTAATCAGAGAGGGATAACTTGGAATTTGAGATCATAGAGGTGAACTGGTTCTGCCCAGAACCACGGTCTAAAGTGTGGACTTACTGACAAAGGGGATTGGAGATGGTGACACTTCTGGGAGTTGAGGATATTAAGGTCAGGGTGTCAGAATCAGTGTGGGTTTTGAAGTTGCATGAGGCATGATAAAGATGTGACAGAAAGAAAAACTGTGAAAGAGTTGCACAAACTGTTAAGGAAAAGTGGGAGAATGTTCTGTGCGGAACTCCTTAGCCAGAGATGAGGGGGTGATAAGGCCGGTATGAATGGATGCATGAACTTCAGAAGAAAAGACTGTTTCAAGAGGGTAGTGAGACAAAGCCCTGGAATGGACAGTGGAGAA